TTTGTATTTTTGTATTTTTTTTTTTTATTCTTTTCAGTGTACAGATGCAACTATGCAGGTATGTCAAAATGTTAAATGCAAGAGATAAAATCAAGCAAAAATCTAGTTAAAATGAACACAACAAAGAATTATGTTTTGGGGGAAAAATAGCAATCGTCTCAGTCTTTAAGAAAAATGATTGACAAAAAAAAACTATTGCAAATATATATTGTTAATGTTAGATAGAAAGCCTTTCATTTTATTTTAATAATTAAAATTAAAAAAAATGTAAATAAATTAAAATTAAGGGATCTACTGAAAAGTTATAAATAAATAAATAACATTTACCTAAAAATACATTAACTTTTATAAAGAATATCTCTTTGGATTTGAGACTTTAGTCTTTGCAAATTTACAGATCTTCTTTATGCACCAAGAGCTTGTAACACTCCAAAGAGAAAGGAAAAAATTAAATCGCATCATATGACCCCTTTAAGATAAAAATAAATGGCTAATTGAACAAAAATGAAATAAATGAACAACAAAGAATGATGTTTTGGATGGAAAAATAGCAATTGTCACAGTCTTTAAGGCAGTATTCAGGCAACATCAGAAAGCTTGAACTAAACTAAAGCAGGATGTTGAAAACATATGGAGTATGATTTCTTCTGCATGATTATATGGTGATTTCAGTGAGCGGCTGCAGCCTTCAGTGAATCAGTAAGAGTCTCTGTTGAACTAAGAATATACGCTGACCTCTTTTCTCTCTTCTCACTGTGATGCTCAGAGAGCTTTCGAAGAGCACAGACCAGGTGCATTGTGGGAAATGTGAAGCAAAGGCTGAACTTAATTCATGAGCCGTGAAAGACCAGAATATCTACAGAACCGCCAATGGACAAAAACCTACCAACACTCGAACATTTTTAGAGAATGTTTTGTAGTGAACATTGTGTAAGATACACTAGTGGTCACTATTATTATAAGTGAACAACTGCTAATTAATCAAGTGGCAGCAGCTCAATGCACACATTTATAGAAAATATATCCAGTATAATGATAAATCAGGATTATTTCGGCCATCAACCTGCTTTTTTCAAATTCAAATTTTCAAATTCAAATTTTCAAATTCAAATTTTCAAATTCAGGTCTGTGGACCACGGGGCTAGAAGAGGGCATGAAGGGATTAATTAAAACAAATTAAAAAAATAAAATTAAAAGGTACTAAATCTGCTAAGAAGTTAAAAGAAAAATAGTGTAAAATGAAAATAAATAAATGTAAATTAAAAATAAATTAAGACAAATAATTAAAACAAATGAATTAAAATGTAAATAAATTAACATTAAAAGGTACTAAAGGAGCTGCTGAAAAGTTGTGTAAAATGCAAATAAATAAATATACCAAATAAAGTAAATAAAAATAAACAAAGGGCCTGCTGGAAAAGTTAAATGAAAAATAGTAAATAAACATTATAATAAAAATACATATTAAAATTACAACTACAAATTAACAAATTAAAATAAATTAAAATGTACATAAAAAATAAATAAAAAAATTAATAAAGATTAATTAAAAACAATATATATATATTCTTTTGACAGCCATAGTTTATACATCTAAAAGTACTGCTGCTTTAATAGGACTTTTCAGTGCTTTTTTTTTTTTTTTCACAGTATAAAAGGGTCTTTATGCATGAAAATATACATCTATCGATCTTTCTAAAATATACATCTATTTGGGTATCCATGGCATCTGGAAAACTTCTGGTGTCAGTCGTTTAAAAGCCAGAAACCCAAACACAAGCAGACAAGATCTGTACACATGGAATCAGAGCCTCAACAAGACCAAAACCAGTCGGATCTCTGCTGACTCGCCATTAGCTGTCAACTCTGTGTAACATGTCAACAATATTCACAAAGAGCTCAGTGCAAATGATTCATAAAGCTCACACGCAGCGAGAGGAAAGATCAGGTGTGATGAAGATGGACGAGTTGGACAGCAGTGACGAAGAGCTCTGTTCTGATACGATGATGAAATCAGGCTAATGAAAACCCCTGCGTCATTATCAGAAGCTCTGAACGATGCTTTGACGAGCCTGTCATCAGTTAACGACAGAAACTTCTGAGTCACAAACCTGACTAATTCAGCAGCTCACAAATCACAACGCCTCTTCACGCTGCGCTAAACAACTACTGTATGCATGCAACACTCCTGATGCATTTACAACAAAACACACCCACAATGCAGTGCGCCTGACTTGACCTTCCATTTCTAGTGTGATGAATCAAGAATCACAGAATTGGGACAAAAATATATTATTTATTTCCTTACTACTTATCTATCTATCTGGACATCACATGCTGAATTAAACATGCAACATCAAGAGGTCATGTGACAACAATACAATATACTACTATTTAAGGAAAAAAAAAAAGAAAACAAGAAAGAAACAAATTTGATTTAACATTTGATTAAAATAGTATAT